ATATTGCAAACCCTACAGTGGGAATCCCTCACGCTTGCGCGACACGGAGAGCACCATAGGACAGCACCAATAATAAAACATACAACTCAAACCAATCACGATCATCAAATAGCCATTAGGACAAAACAGATCTACTCAAACATCATAGGATAGCCATACATCATTGGGAAATAATATATAGCGTTGAGCACCATGTTTAAGTAGAGATTACAACGGGTAAGAGAGAGGTTACACCGCTGCATAGAGGGGGGAAGAGTTGGTGATGATGGCGGTGAAGTTGTTGGTGAAGATGGCGGTGATGACGATGGCCCCGGCAGCGCTCCGGCGCCACCGGAAGCAAGGGGGAGAGGGCCCCCTTCTTCTTCTTCTTCCTTGACCTCCTCCCTAGATGGGAGAAGGGTTTCCCCTCTGGTCCTTGGCTCCCATGGCACGGGAGGGGCAAGAGCCCCTCCGAGATTGGATCTATCTCTCTGTTTCTGCGTTCTCTTCTGGCTCTGTTTCACCGTTTCGTATATATATGGAGATCCGTAACTCCGATTGGCCTGAAACCTTCGCCGTGATTTTTTCTCGGATATTAGCTTTCTTGCGGCAAAAGAAGAGTGTCAACCGCCTTACGGTGGGCTCACGAGGGTAGGGGGCGCGCCCTAAGGGGGGGCGCCCCCCTGCCTCGTGACCACCTCGGGCACTAGTTCGCGTTGATTTTCCCTCCGAATTTTTCATATTTTCCAAAAATAATCTCCGTCCATTTTTATCCCGTTTGGACACCGTTTGATATGGATATTCTGCGAAACCAAAAACATGCAACAGACATGAACTGGCACTGGGCACTGGATCAATATGTTAGTCCCAAAAATAATATAAAAAGTTGCCAAAAAGTATATGAAAGTTGAATAATATTGGCATGGAACAATCAAAAATTACAGATACGATGGAGACGTATCAGGAAGCGTTACAAGAACACGGATGAAGGAGTCATACTCGCAGCGATTCAAATCGCGGTAGATTCCGATCCAAGTGCCGAACAACGCCGCCTCCATGTTCAACACACATGCAGCCCAATGACGTCTCCCACGCCTTGATCCAGCAAGGAGAGAGGGAGAGGTTGGGGAAGACTCCGTCCAGCAGTAGCACGACGGCGTGGTGGTGTTGGAGCAGGGTGGTACTCCGGCAGGGCTTCGCCAAGCATCGCGGTAGGAGGAGGAAGTGTTGGGGAGGGGGAGGGCTGCGCCTTGGATGTGGTGTTGCTGCCCTCCCACCTCCCCTCTATTTATAGGGGCAAGGGGGAGGGGGGCCGGCCCCCTCCAAATGGATCTAGAGGGGGGCAAGGGGGGGCTTGCCCCCCAAGCCAAGGGGGTTTGGTGCCCAGCCCACCTAGGGGCTGGTTCCCCCTCCATATTCAGCCCATATGGCCCTCCGGGGCAGGTGGACCCTCGGAACCCTTTCAGTGGTCCCGGTACAATACCGATAAACCCCCGAACACTTCCGGCGACCGAATAAGGACTTCCCATATATAAATCTTTGTCTCCGGACCATTCTGGAACTCCTCGTTACGTCCAGGATCTCATCCGAAACTCCGAACAACATTCGCTAACCACGTACAAACTTTCCCTATAACCCTAGCATCATCGAACCTTAAGTGTGTAGACCCTACGGGTTCGGGAATCATGCAGACATGACCGAGACATCTCTCCAGCCAATAACCAACAACGGGATCTACATACCCATGTTTGCTCCCACATGTTCCACGATGATCTCATCGGATGAACCACGATGTCGAGGATTCAATCAATCCCGTATACAATTCCCTTTGTCTACCGGTATAGCACTTGCCCGAGATTCGATCATCGGTATATCGATACCTTGTTCAATCTCGTTACGGCAAGTCTATTTACTCGTTCCGTAACACATCATCCCGTGACCAACCCCTTAGGCACATTGAGCTCATTACGATGATGTCTTACCGAGTGGGCCCAGAGATACCTCTCCGTCATACGGAGTGACAAATCCCAGTCTCGATTCATGCCAACCCAACAGATACTTTCGGAGATACTCGTAGGGCACCTTTATAGCCACCCAGTTACGTTGTGACGTTTAGCACACCCAAAGCATTCCTACAGTATCCGGGATTTGCACAATCTCATGGTCTAAGGAAAAGATACTTGACATTAGAAAAGCTTTAGCAGACGAACTACACGATCTTGTGCTATGCTTAGGATTGGGTCTTGTCCATCACATCATTCTCCCAATGATGTGATCCCGTTATCAATGGCATCCAATGTCCATGGCCAGGAAACCGTAACCATCTATTGATCAACGAGCTAGTCAACTAGAGGCTCATTAGGGACATGTTGTGGTCTATGTATTCACACATGTATTACGATTTTCGGATAACACAATTATAGCATGAACAATAGACAATTATCATGAACAAGGAAATATAATAATAACCACTTTATTATTGCCTCTAGGACATATTTCCAACAAAAAAATCAACGACGGCGGCACCGCCGGAGTAGAGAAACCCTAAACAAGAGGGTAAGATAACTCGTCCTAAATCTGCTATGGTAACAGGCACTCTGTGTTAACTTTGTGCTCAGCTATATCCATGTACATGAATTTCCATGTAACTGAATTATGAACTTCATGCCACGACACAATTCATTTATGCATGTGGATTTACACACTGTTATTATCACACTTGTTTGGCGGCGCGCCACAGGTAAGAGGACGGTGTATTATTTAGATCAAGGGATCACGCCGCCAAATCCAACATCGGTTTAGGCGAGAAGTGCACAAGAACCATGTTATGTTAGGTTTCTATCCATGAAACCTGGCCTAAGGCGTCTCCAACGCTCATCCTCAAATCTCCCGCATCCGTTGGACCGTGTTATCTGGACCGCCGAAGCCATATAACGTGATTTTGTATCGGTCCGCATCACGGTCCGGGCATATTTCTCCCGTAAATCGAAGACAAACGTGGGGGCTTTATGGAAGTTCAGGCCGCTGTAATGCCCGCTTCTGACTGTCTTAGCCCACCCAAAACTCCTCCTCTCCATCACACATGCTTTCCATCTGAAACGGTCAGCGCCGCTCCCGAGCGTTAACGCCCACTTTCATGTCCGGCCAGAGCAGATGTGATCGCTCACTGGCGCCGGCATTGAAGCGGCGTGCAGGTTGAGAGAGCGCTGCCCGCGCCGCTTTCCGGTGCAGGCGACTGCTCTGTGTTCAAAGGACATGACGGTCGCTCGTCCTTCCGTCTTCCGCCCACGTTAATGACACATGGTTACCGAGGCGGCTACTCCAGCGCCACCACCCGTCCCTCTATCTCCCACCATTGCTATATAAACCGCTGCCCCGGCCATAGCCGTCGTCATCCGCCTTCGATTCCTCCCTGTATCACTCCCACCATGGATTCCTCCCCTCACCAAAACTCTCTAGGACCGGCTGACGCCGGACTAGAAGAAGGAGATGGCCGCCATTGCTATCGGCTAGCTGGCCGACATGTAGCCAGAGGATGACGACGTCCCAATGGAGGACGCGGTCGACGACGTGCCGACGCCACCCTCCAGGTCCGCGGCACCCTCCTCCTCCTTCGTGCCACCCTCGCCCGTGCATTGCACCATGACCATCAGCGAGGCTCGTGCCCGTTACATGGACAGGGTGCAGGAGGAGCAGTTCCGGGAGGCGCAGGCCAACCCCGCGTACAACCACCACCTCCTCCAGGAGCACCTGCAAGTGCAGGAACAACTCGCCAATGGTAGGGCGGTCGCACCGGACGCATACCTGGTGGAGCAAGAGGCGTTGCTCGAGTCTATCGCTCTGCCCGCGAGATCTATCTCGCCCGCTAGTGGTACTGCCAGCGGATGGCGTAGGTGGTGGCCGCCTACAAGGAGTGCGATGAGGCGGGTGAGGCGGTGTTCGATGAGACCAACGGGGAGGAGGACATCGCCGAGGCCATGCCCAGCCGCCACGACCACGAAGCAGGCACATCCACAGGTGCCGCCAGCAGCGAAGAAGTAGTGCATGGTTAGTTGCCGCTTGGATCCCAGGAAAACCACCGCTCCTCCCCTCCCTTTGACACCAAGCTTGGTGGGCTCAACATCGACGGCCGATTAGCCGCTTGGCAGCGACGTGGAGGCGGACAACTTCACTTCTCGGGTCTCCGGAGGCGGAGGTTATGGAAGCGGAGCTGGAAAGCGCCAAGGTGGAGCTGGACAAGCAGAAGTTTCGGTTCTCGAGGCTCATGGCCTGACACGGGGAACGGACGCCGACGACCATTTAGATTACATATTAATTATAACTCCATAGTCGGACTAGCGCCGTAGTTGATATAAATGTAATGAAATTCATCATGTTTATATGAAATCCAGTCATGTTTGAATGAATTTCTTTCGATTAGTTTGAATTGTTGGCCAGATGTATGTGGGTAGCGTTGGATGACGACCTCCCGCATCCATGTCCACGGACGGATGCGGGAGAAAATTTGCCGGTTGCAGTTGAAGATGCCCTTATTGACCATTTCGCGGACAAATGTGGGAGGAAATTTGCCGGTTGCAGTTGGAGATGCCCTGACGTGCTCACTATTGTTCACGAATAGCAGCTGCCTACTAGTATAGCGGAAGCTCCCGAAGGAAATACACTTTGGTTCCTTGTTGTATATACACCCTATATGAGGATTTTTTTAATAATTAAACAAAAAGTAAAAATAGTTCAAAAGTATTTTTAGATTAAACTTGACTTTGTTTTGCACTAGTATATAAATTTTCACGAAAAAAACCAACATCGAATTCAGGGCAAAAAAAGCAAAATTTATTTGCTATTATAGGTCACTACCACACTATTTTGACCGAAAATTTGTCTTTTTTTTAAAAAAAAGTCAAAGAGTGATTTTATTTTTTTGAGATTTTTCTCACAAGTATAATAAAAGATCAAGTTTATTTTAAATATATTTTCAGTTTTTTTTTTTTGCTTTTTGTTGTATTGCTAATTTGTTTTTCCATATGGGGTACCCAGTAACCAAACGTTCCCGTCCAGGGCCAGATCTATACATGGGTTACCACTTACCACGACGACCATCAAGAGCATGTTGCAGAGTGAGGCGCATGCTAATAATCAAACTTGTGTGCGGTAAATTATTGTACCGATGCCACTTATGGTGGATGCAGAATATGTGTTACATGTACATCTTATTTAGACACTTTTGCAATGCAAAGGTCCACCAAATACTGGCATCGCATGCAGGAGCATGTGAGCAGATAGGTGTCACCGTAGGTAGGATTGTATCACGCTGGCAGTCACAGGTGGGCACGACCGCACGACGCAGGAGCTCAGTAGTAGCTGTGCTTCTTGGGCTGTGCGCACCCGCCGCCATAGCCGCCGCCGCCGAGCTGCTGGTGGCGCTCGTACGCCGCGTAGTACTGCGTGCCGCCGGGCGCCGCAAGGCCCACCTCCTCCTCTTCGCAGTCGCTATCCTCCTCGCTCTCTTCGTCGCTCTCACACCCCTGGTCGAACCGCTGCTTCTCTCTCTCACGGCGTTGGGCAAGAGCATCATACCCTGCGACGCCGCCGGCGCCGCACCCTTGCTGCGGGTACGCATTTTGCACGCCGCCGTAGCCCCCGTGCTGCTCCTGGACGACACCGGCGGCGCGCCCTTGCTGGTACGACGCGTTCTGCGCCACGCCGCCGTGGTAGAAAGTGGTGTTACTGGTGTACCCTCCGGCGTCGGCACCATGCTGGTAAGCCATCTGTCCGCCGCCGTAGCCGTGCTTCGTCTGCTTCGCGCCGCCATGGTGGAAAGCAGCGTCGTACCCTCCGGCATCTGCATCGTGCGCGTAAGCCTTCTGCCCAGCGCCGTAGCCGTGCTTCTGCGTCGCGCTGCCGTGGTGGACACCGCCGTACCCTCCGGCGTCGCTCCCGTGCTGGTACGCCTTCTCCCCGTAGCCGTGCTTCTGCACCGTGCTGTCGTGGTGGACGCCGTCGTACCCTCCCGCTGCAGCGCCATGCTGGTACTGCTCGCCGCCGTAGCCGTGCTTCTTCACGACGCCGTAGCTGTCGTGGTGGAGGGCGGCGGCGGCGCTCCCATGCTCGTACGCCTTGTGCTCGCCGTAGCCGGGCTTCTGGACCGTGCAGTCCACGTACGCCTTCTGCTCGCCGTAGCCGTGCGCCTTCTCGCCGTAGCCATGCTTCTGGACCTTGCTGTCCTGGTGGAGAGCGGTGTACCCCTTGAGATTGCCTTCATGCTGGTACGCCGTATGCTCGCCGCCGTAGCCGCTCTTCTGGACCTTGCTGTCCTGGTGGTGACCACCGTACGCCTTCTGCTCGCCGTAGCCATGCTTCTGCGCCGAGCTGTCATGGTGGGCCTCAGCCCCATAATGCTGGTAAGCCTTCTGCTCACCGTAGCCATGCTTCTGCGTGGCGCCTGTGCTGTCGTGGCTGGCAGCGTCGTAGCCTCCATGCTGGTACGACGACGCCTTCTGCCCACCGTAGCCGCCGTGCTTCTGCACGGAGCTTTCGTGGTGGTGAGCGCTGTACCCTCCGGCGCCGCTCGCATGCTGGTACGACGACACCTTTTGCTCGCCGTAGCCTCCGACGTCGCTCCCGTACGCCTGCTGCCCGTAGCCGTGCTTCTGCACTTCGGCGTCCTCGCTGCACAGCTCCGTGAGGGAGGCCGTCTTGTACCCCGCCTGCTTCTCGTTGAGGCTCATGTGGCTGATCTCCGTCACGACGGTGGTCACCGAGTCGGAGTTGTGGGTGTGGTAGCTTATCACGGGCTTGCTCTGGCCGTAGCCGCCGCCGAAGCCCAAAGCACGCTTGACGATGGACATGGCTGCTTGCTTTCTTGCTCTGACTACTACGGCTAGCTTGCTTGGTTTGCTAGTTGCTTTGTGCTGGTGTGCCTCTGTGGCCTTGGGAGGTAGGGTTTTATAGGCGCCGTGGCGAGGGCGGGAGCCAGCATTTGTGCCTGGTAGTGGTATCGTAGCAGATGGATATATGCTCTAACTTTATATCTGGTCAAGCATCTAGTGATTCGAACCTAATTTCCATGCGTGGCGGGAACAATAAGGCTAGTCATAGTGGGGAGTATCATATACTAGTATCATGCATATGATACTAGTGTATGATATTACCTTCATAGTGCATAGTATCATAAAGTAGTATCATAGGTGATCGTATTTATTGCCATGCATGACACAAAGTAGCATAGCATTTAACATGATACGGTATCTATTTATGTTACTCTAACCTTCTCTCTCTTCTTTAATTGTGTGCCACATAAGTATGTTTGCTAGTCCCAAGTGCATGTTACCGGTTATGTTACCCCCACTATGATCAGCCTAATGCTAAACATGCAAAGAGTTACACGCAATTACACGCTGATTAGGATTTTTTTCATCTACTAACCAATCATAAACTTGCCCCCCCTAATTTTCAGGGGGATGGGCCGTCTCCCCACCTATTTACCAATCAAATTAACCTTTTTTGTAAAACCTTGTAACTTGTTTGTACGTGTAGCATTACTCGCCAAATTTCCAAGCATCTTGTATGGAGTATGTCCAAATTTCCAAGCATCTTGTGATTATTGGAAGATAAGGCCAAGATCCTATTCGCGAGCCATATTTGATGGTCTATTTTCTTCCCGGGCCTGGGGGGATGCTTACTTATCATATTTTATAGTGAAATGATTTGAAAATTTGTATGGAGTATGTCCAAATTTCCTAGCATCTTGTATGGAGTATGTCCAAATTTCCAAGCATCTTGTGATTATTGGAAGATAAGGCCAAGATCCTATTCGCGAGCCATATTTGATGGTCTATTTTCTTCCCGGGCCTGGGGGGGATGCTTACTTATCATATTTTATAGTGAAATGATTTGAAAATTTGTGCTAACGTGTCACAAAAATAGAATTTTTTTTCTTTCGAGAAGAGTATAGAAACCACAGGCACTGCATGGATAGACTATGCAACATTCTATTATCACTTTTGTTTAATAACCCAAGATCACAAAATGAAGGAAAAGATCAATTAAACCCATAACAAGGTTGAAACAACAAAAAGAACACATGATCATGATGCCTCATGTGTCACTAATCTAATTATTGTGTTGTAACCCGAATGACCATCTCTCAGCGGTTGCACCGGAGTCTATGCATGCTCAGCTCTCCTTCCCCCGAAGATAGGACTACACATATAGCCAATTGGTTGCCAGGGTTTAGAGAAGGTTCAACCCTAGTCTTCTGCATTCGCCATCTCAACAGTCACCGAGAGACTCCTTGTTCTAGCCCAGCGGCATGATTCATCAATAATCAACCGATACAACTTATCCACCAACTGGCATCTTGCATTGAAAATCCAATCGGTTTTTCTTTCAGAAGGGAACAACAAATGAGAATGACCAATGAATTGCGCTACATGGAAGCAACCTTTGAGAAGGAATTATCGTGACATTCCACTAATATGTGAAAGATGAGGTAGCAAAGTTAGGTGCCTACCTAGCCTCTTCCACAATCCAATAGAAAATTGACACGAGGTGAGTAAATGGCATGTCGTTTCTATCCTGTTGAAACAAAGTTGACAACAACTACGACGTGGCCAAACCCTTTCCTCAAGATTGTCAGGAGCTAAACTCTTCCCTTGTCCAGGCGAAAATCTTGCATTTAAGCAGAGCAAAAGATGTACCGAATAAGGTTGCTGAAATCAATCAAGTGCAAGCCAAATAACTGAAATATGCATGCAAATTTTGTCGAATAGATCCCGTTTTTAGTCCATCACCAAGTCAATGTATCATTTGTTCCAAGCACAACCTTTTTGATATCATGGTGAGTTCATGAAGGGAAGTCTGAGGGAGATCATTTTTCATGAACTTCATCCATGCATCATCGTAAGAGCATCAGCCCCCGAGATATTCCTTTTAGTAAAACACTTTAGAAGGTTTGGCACAACAATTGCAAAAGGCGTCTCCAAGAGCCATCGATCTCCAAAGTTTTGTAGTCATGCCATCGCCCATATTCGCGTAAGTGTTTAAGATGCTTTGAGTTGCATCATCAATAGGGAGGGCGGTCCCATGCCTCGGCTTGTCAGGTTGCATCTAGTAAGAAGCTTCAGACATTGCTTTGGGCTCTAGTACAAGGAATTTCAAGCCCGCTTAACTCCTTTGGTTGACATACATTGGTCGAACGCACAAGACACCTCCTGCCATTGGCTACTTTAGAACCCCCCCCCCACCCACCCCCACCCCCTGGCACACACACACAAAATAAGGTTCCTCTCAACCTTCTCAATTAACCAAAGAGGCCACTCAATGATTATCATAGTGCTAGGCCATAGATGGTTCCTCTCTTAAGCCGATGAGAGGAACCATCTATGGCCTAGAACCCCTAAACACACAAAAAGAATTCTGAAAACCAAAGCTCATCTTTCCTCTTTAATATTAGCAACCGCGAGCAATGGTAGGTATTGAGAACTTGTTGTTGAAGACATAAGTGCTCGTGCTTTGTAAAATTCCCGGCAAGCAAGAACATATCACTGCACACAGTTGGTGGGCACACTAGGCTGCCAGGAGAAAGCGTCCACGAAGGACACATTTCCCCCATGCATTGTAGAATAGTAAAGAGGTTAATGTTTCGAAAAGAAGGGATGGTAGACCTCACATGCCTAGAGCACCGCCGATAAAAAAAATGTGGACTAGTGACTCAATGGTGGACTTGCAAAGCTGATGAGGTGATCATCTACTTGTGAGTTTTCAGTAGTCCATAGGTAATTTTAAATGGTCTACCGTGCGAAGGGTTTGCATGTTTGGGGGCAACATGCCTCCCAGAAAAGGTTGAGAGTGCCTAGTTGGTCGGACCGGCATATAGAGCGAGATAAATCTAGTGGTCAACTTTTAGACGATTTTCTCTCAAAAAAACTTCCAAACGATTTTGTTAGGCTAGTCTAGGTAAAGTAAAAAAAGTCAACTCCAAAAGATGACGATCGGTAATGTTTTGGGGTGAATTGATCGAGCTTCAGGTTGTCCGTCTCACAAAG